TCCACTAATATTCTGTTGTTCTACATAATTATTTATACACTTGCAGTCAAGATACAGAAATATTAAAAAATTAAGAGTACACATCTCACAAGGCATAATGTAAGTACCAAGAATGGTAAATGAGAATGAAGGTAAAATGAGGAGAACCCACTGGGAGTCCGAGATTCCAATTGAACTGGACACTGAATGATGGTGGATTTAGAAGGCAACAGAGGTAAGGGTATGACCTAAGAAAAACATGCTTAGTGTGATACAGGAGGAGTTCTCCAGATAGGAGTCAGAGACAAGGTTAGAAAAATGAGCTGCTAGGCGTGTGGTCTTGTTGAAGTAGTAGAACATCACCAGCCTTGAGTGGAAGAAGTCAAGCAAGAACTTGAAAACTTTAGTTCAAGGCCAAGTACTGGCATAAAAAATAAAGCTGAGCCAGGTTATAGAACTTTTGATAGTTGTTTTGGATGCTGGCTTTGTTCTGAGTAACAATGGTTCTGGTACACCATTATACACAAGAAACACTTTGGTAGGGAGAGTGGTGATCTGGCAGAGTTTATTCCTAAGATTGTGATTTAGAATGTTTGAGATGGTCTCTGAAAACTACATTTTTAACAGGCTCCTCTAGTGATTCTGGTGTCAGTTATTCAATGACATTTTGAGACACTGATTAAGGGCAAAGAAATGAAGAATCCTTACTGCTAACTATAGCAAATATCCCTATTCCCTATAAATTCTGAAAACACTTGACTCCTAGGCTCATAGATCCTTCCTGTTTAGTCCCTGTTAGCCAGTTTTTCTTCAGTATTTGGCACTGACTTTGTCACTATTTATATCTTGAAACATTAGTATATCACTTAACAAGGTACTTTTGTGTTTCTTGTCTTTCTGGTATCTTTAGTCTCCTCTGGCCTCTTTTACTTTGCCCTATTCTCTATACATTATCTCAAGATTCTAACTTTGCTGCTTTACAGTTCTGTGACTGCATTGGGAGCCTTGTTGTCAACCTCAGATGTTTGGACTTTGCCCGAAGATAAGAGAGGTTTCAAAAAGCTTATAAGCAGTGGAATCCCATAGAAAAAGACTTGTTCTGGGAACTTTGCCTTGGAGATAAGTCCGAAGAAAAGGATTAGAGATAGAAGAAATCGAAAGAACAAAGTTACAAACATTTAGTCATCTCCAAAGTGTGGCTTCAGAATGAAAATGTTACTTTTTCTAGTTGCTCTCCCTTTCAGAAACTAGTCTTATATCACAAATAGCTGAGATACTTTTAAATTATAGCAGCTTCAGAGCTGGGAAGGTGGCTCAGTGGTAGAGCGCTTACCTTGCATGCCTGAGGCCCTGGGTTCGATTCCTCAGCACCACATAAGCAAAAAGAAAAAAAGCCGGATGTGGCACTGTGGCTCAAGTGGTAGAGCGCTAGCCTTGAGCTGAAGAGCTGAGGGACAGTGCCAAGGCCCAGAGTTCAGGCTCCACAACTGGACCCCCCCAAAAAAATTATAGCAGTTTCATTATCATGTTTTTGGTTACATAAGTTTAGCTGTAGTATATAAGGTCCTCTGTAATGTTCTTTTTAAAAAATATTTTTGTTTGTTAAGTAGTTGTATACAGGAGTTGCCATTCAATGCAATGTTAATCAGATAAAAATATGACATGAAATTGTTCCCTTATAATACCAATGTGAGTTCTTATTCTCCAAAACAAGTGGTACAGAAGTCTACAGTATGTGCACTTCATATTTGGTCACTTTAATTCTTTGACTGTGGAGACAACATATCATTCATACAGATATTATTCATAAATGACATGCCTTCTTTCATATCTTGAACTAATGAAGAAATAGTAAAAGTGTGCTTAACTTTATCCTATATATGGATTCAAGATATTAGTTCTGTGTCTTATATACAGTGCTTTCTATAATTGGATCCAGGTTTCTAAATTGACAGATTAGAAAAATATGTAGGAACCATAATCTATTTGTAATATTCTAAAATCTTAGAAAAATACAGAAGGCACTACATTAGGTGCAATCTTACTTGGATGTAATTAAAAGAATCAATTTATTGGCTATTCTTTCTGAAGTGTTCTACAGTGAGAGATGCTAAGCATTTAGCAAAGTCAATTTCAACTATTTTCACTATAAAGTTAAAAGAAATGATTCATCCCTATAGTGTGACTTTAGAGAAATTATTTAAGCACTGTCTGGATTTCTACAATGTTATCTTCATTACTGAATTACTGTCATTTATGAATATCTGTACTAATGATATGTTGTCTCCACAGTCAAAGAATTAAAGTGATCAAATATGAAGTGCACATACTATAGACTTCTGTACCACTTGTTCTGGAGAATAAAAACTCGCATTGGTTTTATAAAAATTTCATGGCAGATTTTCATCTGATTACCATTGCATTGAATGGCAACTCCTATGTACAACTGTGTACAACCTCAAATATATTGAAGTTTTGAGCACCTGGGGCCAGAAGAGCTACGTAGGGTGAAGATATTTTCCTATACACTATTTCTCTTACCTTCTTCTTGTTGTAGCCTCCCTGCAATGGATGCAAAGTTTTCCATAATTTTCTGCTTAATAGCCTCATGAACTCAAAATTGCTATTCACCCTAAATATCTCATGGAACTTTTTAAAGAACTGCTTGAACTATAAAATAGCAATCAAGGGCTGTGAGTCAGCGTATTACATAAACATAAAATCAAAATAACTTAAAACATATAATATAATCTTTCTGAAAGGCATATACACCTTCTTGGAGAAGCTTGGAGAAATTGAAGTTTGTGAATTTATGAATAGTTCATTACTTTTCAAGAAGTATATTGTGAATCAATAAAACAGAAGTTAAGGACAATAAGCTTATTACCAATGCAGTTATTGATTCTCAAGTTCTAAAATAGAATAGCACAGGAAAAGAACAGATAAAATAAGATTTTGTGTGTGATAATAAAAATAAAAATAAAGAGCATGTTAGGAACAAAGAACTAAAGAAACTATTAGCTATTTAAGATGTTGATTTAATTTCTTCATCTTTTTGGTAATTGAAAATATTATTTACTTTTCACCTTATTTAAACATGCTTTAAAATTGTCAGAGGAGTATTGTTGGTCTTTTTTTTTTTTGGTCCAAGAAAGGAACTCCAAGTTGATATTTGATGCTTTTGTTCATTGGCTAGTGCTCCACCAACTAAGCCATGCTGCCAACCCTGCTTTTTTTAATTTTTTATTGTGAACATACTGTACAGAGAGGTTACAATTACATGGGCAAGATAATGAGTACATTTCTTATCAAGCATTGCAGCCTCCTCCTTTATTTACCCTTCACATCCCTTCCCAGCGTCCCCTCCTTCCCACCCAATCCCCCCCCCCACACCAAAGTTGCAAAGTTTGTTTTCAATATGACAACTTGTACTTCTCATTGTTACAACGGGTCCACCTGTATCTTTAAACGACTTGTTTTTCCCCTTCTCCTCCACAAATTATACCGACATCAAATATAGTGAAAGCAGGGGTTATACTGTGGGGGAGGGACATACAAAGCAACAACAAAGAGATAATCTTATAAATGCGTTAGAAACAAATGCATGAAAGAAAAAAAAACATTTAAGTACGTATCTAAGGGTTCATTTTCCAACCCTGCTTTTTAAAATTGACTCTTTTCTGTTTTCAATTTCTTATATATGTTCCTTTCTTCCTTTTACAAAGTTTATGTTGATAGCTGTCTTACATTCTTATTTTAGTCAGCTCTGGCTACCATAACAAAGTATCCAACAGTATCCTCCCACAGCTCCAGAGGCTAAAAGTTCAAACAACCAAGGTGTCTGTATGGTCAGTTTCTAGTGAGTCTTTTTGGCTTGTAAACGGCCACCTCATTCTATGAAAGGAGACAGCTAACTAGCTCTTACTATTTCCTCTTTAAAAGGCCTTACCCATCCAGACTTCATCTTTAATCACCTCCCTCCAAAATCTTATCTCCAAATAGAAAAACACTGGAGCTGCCGGGAGCCGCTTGTAATCCTAGCTACTCAGGAGGCTGAGATCTGAGAATCGCAGTTCAAAGCCAGCCTGGGCAGGAAAAACCGTGAGACTCCTATCTCCAATAAACCACTAGAAAACCGGAAGTGACGCTGTAGCTCAAGTGGTAGAGCGCTTGCCTTGAGCTGAAGAGCTGAGGGACAGCGCCCAGGCCCAGAGTTCAAGCCCTATGACCGACAAAAAAACAAAAAAAAGAAACACTGGAGTTTAAGGCTTCAATATATGAATGAGGGAGGAGACATACACAAACACAAACATTCAGCACATTTAGTAACAGACAAACTGACAAATCATCAAGCCATATAAATCTGATTAAAACCCCTGATACAAATTAGTTAGAAACAAACTATTCCAGTAAAAAATTTCCCTTTTTTTTCTTTTCTTTTTTTTCAGTCGTGGGACTTGAACTCTGGGCCTGGGCGCTGTCCCTCAGCTCTTTAGCTCAAGGCTAGCGCTCTACCACTTGAGCCACAGCACCATTTCTGGTTTTCTGGTGGTTTATTGGAGATAAGAGTCTCATGGATAGGAGACTGTCCTGGCTGGCTTTGAACCAAAATACTGAGATCTCAGCCTTCTGAGTAGCTAGGATTACAGGTGTGAGTCACTGGGATCAGTCTTCCCTTTCTTTCTTTCTTTCTTTCAATAGCAGTCTTAATTCAACAGGAAAGGAACTGAATGTTAAAGGAACGTAGTGCTGTAAATTAAGAAAAATTACATGTAATAAAAAAAAGAAACTGAGACATACATGGTTTTGACAAAAACTGAGAAACAGAATAGTAATGTACTTTAGGGGGCATGTATAATAATAAAAACAACTTTAAACTTTTATTCTTTTTTTTTACTTAAAAATTTTAATTGACATAATTATACATATTTACAAGGTACTAAAGATTCTGAAGAGTAATCTAAAGCATTTGGATGTCCTTGGAAAGTAATGTAATATACACTAACATTCCTATATTACATTTTTATAGATATTAAAAACAATAGTAAAAGACCTGCTTTTATTCAAATTACAGAAAACTGTTCTGGGAATATAGCACAGTGATAAAGTGCTTGTCTAGTCAAGGTCTAATCCCTAGCACCATCAAAAAATAAAAATAAATGATATAAAATTAAGAATAAAGAAAAAAGTAAAACTGGAATAGTAATACAAAATAGATGAAGTTATAGTTGTTTTGTGCTGGGTCTTACCTCATTTTAATACAAATAATTATTTTTATTACTATATAAACTTGGTGGCATAACATGTATTTTTATTGACTGTATAAATTTATTCATTACAAAATATGTTAAATGCATATATAATATATAATTTTTAAAATCTGGTCAAGAAGATTTTCTTAATGTCTATGAGGTAAATAGATGACATTTTTCAAATTTTTAGTGGAAGGGTGGAGCACTGTAGAACAAAAAGTGACAGATTCAGAGTTATGTGACCAGGCAAGGTCATCTGATTATCAAGTTACAGTTATTTATAGGATCCAGGATTTTCTTGCCTAAATGTGCTGCAGATGAGTGTATTCAAGATGAAGAAGTAGAAAATCTAACTAGAGTTCAGCTCTTTTAATACATAAACAGGTGTGGAAACTAACCTTTAATTTTTCAAAATTCAATCAGATGTGTGTATGGTCCATTGGTATCAAGCTTTAGTACTTGCCTGTTCCCGTAAGTGCCATGTTTTACTACAACCCCAGCTTCAGCACACTTGATGTTTGCAGCTAATTCTTTTTCACATAGAGTCACAAAGTGGGAATAAAGTTCTAACCCTTCTTCTTTTCCACAGTTAGAGTGATACTGCATATTTCTTCCTTTTACTCTGCCTCCAAGGGTGGCTTGAGGAATGATAAGAACATCACCAGGTAGATCCAATATAGAGACGTGCTTGCCATTTTCTGTCTCACTTAATTTCACATTTAACAATGTATTAACTGGATAGAGAACAAAAGGTAAGACATTTTGAAATAAAAAGCAAACCTGAAGAAAACCTTTTAACTCAGTTGGCAAATCCCACATTTAAAACCCAGCTTGTTAGCTCTTATTCCTATCCTCTTTGTGATTCAAAATTCAGCTTCACGAAGTAGTCCAAGCATGAAAAAGAAAAAGACTTTATACAGAAAAGAGTATAACAGGTTTTTTTTTGGGGGGAGGGTCAGGGGTCAGTTATGGGGCTTTAACTCTGGGCCTGGCACTGTCCCTGAGCTCTTCAGCTCAAGGTGAGAGCTCTACCCCTTAAACCACAGTGCCACTTCCAATTTTCTGGTGGTTAATTGGAGATAAGAGTCTCACAGACTTTCCTGCCTGGGCTGGCTTTGAACTATGATCCTCATATCTCAGCCTCCTGAGTAGCTAGGATTACAGGCATGAGCCACTGGGTGCCCGGTCATAACAGTTTTAATCTACAGAATTAACTATATCATGGAACCTCAATAAGTTTGCCTCAGGAGAATACATGAGAAGATTTTCCCTCTCTGTTTCCTGTATTTTATAAGTAAATTCCATTAGAAAATAACATGATAAATCCTTCTCAAACCAAACTCTATTCTATAACAACGACTATCAGAAGGGCACTTATTATTTTAAAATAGTTACCTACAGTTTTGAGCTGTGACAAAGTTTTCAGGTGTAATCTCATTACATACCAGCTCCTTTTGCTGTTCTATAACCTTAAATGTACTATTGATATGGACTAGTTTACAAATATATTCTAAGGCAGAAGTACAAAGACAAAATACAATGTTAAAAATCAAGAAGTAGAGATACAAAGCAATTAACACTATCTTCTTAAACATACAAGGAAACAGGGTGCTATTTTCATAGCATTTATGAGACTATTGCTAACAAGTGTCAAAAACACAATAAATATCTAGTGTTAGTAATCTACCTAAATTTAGAAAACTTTTATACCTGAACATTAACCATTTTCAAAATAATAACAAAAGAAGTGTCTATTAGAAACAAATATACCATTTAGGGAGATAGTAATAATGGTATAAATGAATTGTGCTTGCAAAGAACAGTACTGAGAAAACAGTAAAATGGCTTTTTTTTTTAATCCAGTCCTGAAGCTTGAATTTAGGGCCAGGGTTCTGTCCCTGAGCTTCTTTTGCTCAAGGCTAGCACCCAACCACTTCAGCCACAGTACCACTTCTGACCTTTTCTGTTTATGTGGTACTGAGGAATCAAACCCTGGGCTTCATGAATCCTAGGCAAGCACTCTACCACTAAGCCATATTCTTAGCCCCAAAATGGTAAAAGAAACTTTATAAACTTCTGACCTCTATTCTTAAACTAGAGAAAGGCATGCTTTTGTGGCAAGTAGCTAATGGTTTTAATTAATAGAGGATCCATAGTAAGAATTTATTATATCCTTATAGTAAGGATATTAGGAAGGATTTGGTTTGGCTATCCCTCACTTTAAAATCATGTAATTAACCAGTTAAAAACCTCCCAAAGTAAACACTCAAATTAACTCTTAAGCTATGCCTTATGCACTATCAATTTTCACTTAACATCTATTTAAATATTTCTATAATTTCTAAATTACAACTAGGGCTTTCTTATATAGCCAGTAGTCCTTAGTGGTTGCTTCTATGGAAAACTGAGTCTCCAGAGCACTTCATTCCAAGCCTCAGGCTAGTAAGAGACTAAGCCGGCAATTTTGCATTAACACAGGGGAGGTAGTATAAGTGCTTTACACACTTCCCTCTACTGGCCACATCTGGGAACTCAATACTGATATAAACATCAGTAGGTAAAAATAGATACAAAACAAATACAAGTAGAAATAAAATGAGACAATGAATTAATGGCATACTGGAAATTCAGAGATCCTAATGTAGGTAATCAACCAAATAAATTCAAAGACACTGAGTAGAAGGTAAGCTTTCACAGATCCCTGGACCATAGCCCAATTATACTGAAGATGAATTGAGAAAGGCTTTCTAATTTCTACATTAGCTATGCATTTTAGACTTATTTTCCCAAGGGTTATAAAATTTGATTGGAAAGACTGGAGGAGGGGAGTCTAAGAGAATCCCATCATATTGGAGGAAAGTACAACTCTATCACTAACAGATTTGTTTATTTATTTAATTGTTTGTCCTGGGGCTTGAACGCAGGGCCTGGGAACAGATCCTTAGATCTCAGCTTCCTGGGTAGCTAGGATTACAGGCATAAGTCACTGGATCCCAACTACACATTTATTTGGTTGTAACTCAAACCAGCAGTCAGATTCTTCAAATGCACATAGTACTTTAATGAGAATCATACCAAGTTTTTTGTGTTAGATTCTGCACTTGAAGAATTAAGGAAGACCTCCTCAGTTGTTTTTTTTTTGTTGTTGTTGTTTTTCATTGGTCGTGGGGCCTGAAGTCTGGGCCTGGGTGCTGTGCCTCAGCTATTCAGCTCAAGATTAGCAATCTACCACCGGAGCCACAGCACTACTTCGGGCTTTTTCTGCTTATGTGGTGCTGAGGAATCGAACCCAGGTCCTTATGCATGCAGGGCAAGCAATCTACCACTGAGCCACCTTCTCAGCCCGTTTTTTTTTTTTTAATTCACCATAATCTTACACATCTATTTGAAGTTAATTCACTAAGACATATATAGAAGTATAGAGCATTTGTCTGTGTAAAATAAAATGCTGCTTGAATTTGTTGGGCTTATTTTATAATTAAAGTTTATTTAAGATTCTGATTCAGGAAGTGGCTTAAGTGGTAGAGCACTCTTCTTGAGCCGAAGAGCTGAGGGATAGTGCCCAGGCCCAGAGTTCAAGCCCCATGACAAAAAAAAAATAGAGAAAGAAACGTACTCCCTACCTTGCTGGTAGCTGGTGGCTCATGCCTGTAATCCTACTCAGGAGGCTGAGATCTGAGGACCACAGTTCAAAGCCAGCCCAGGCAGGAAAGCCCATGAGACTCTTACCTCCAATAAACTTCCAGAAAACTGGAAGTGATGCTGTGGCAAGCACTACCACTGAGCCACCTTCTCAGCCCATGTTTTTTTTTTTTTTTTATTTCACCATAATCTTACACATCTATTTGAAGTGAACTCACAAAGACATATATAGAAGTACAGAGCATTTTGTCTGTGTAAAATAAAATGCTGCTTGAATCTGTTGGGCTTATTTTATAATTAAGGTTCATTTAAGATTTTGATTCAGGAAGTGGTGCTGTGGCTCAAGTGGTAGAGCGCTCGCCTTGAGCTGAAGAGCTGAGGGACAGCGGCAAGGCCCAGAGTTCAAGCCTCACGACTGACCAAAAAAAAAAAAAAGATTCTGATTCAACCTTAGAAAGGCAATCTTAACTAAGTTTGAGAAGAATTTTTTCCCCTGTTTTTGGAGAATCTTACTATATTTTTATGGCCAATGAAGACTTAAATCAGGGTAAAATATCAACTTAGGAAAATGGACAGGCCTTTAACACCTCAACATTAGGATTTCACAAATTATCCTCTATAATGGAAGTCCTCATTTAATTTTCTTCTTAACCTCTCAAACATTCCTTATTGTGTTCTGGGTTCAAATTTCAAACTACTACACATACTGCTTTTCTATCATCTTCTATCATAGTCTCTTGAATGTAGTTTTCAAAGTTGTCAAATATGCTTGTTATTAGTACAAAAAAGAAGCCATAGCTTTCTATCCAAGGTATTCAGAAAATTATTTGTTCTTGAGTTTATTTGATCTCTTCTAGTGACCTTCAGGTCATTAGCTTCAACTACCCAATGTTTATATTTATATATATCCATTATTTGTATTTTTAAAATTTTGAGACAGGGTCTTACTATGTTGATTAGGATGGCTTTGAACTCTGGAATGAGAGAATACTCTTCTTTCAGCCTCTAGAATAGCTGGTACTAATTTTTTTTTGGGGGGGGGATCCAGTCGTGGGGCCTGAACTCTGGGCCTGGGTGCTGTCCCTCAGCTCTTCAGCTCAAGGCTAGCGCTCTACCACTTGAGCCACAGCGCCACTTCCGGCTTTTTTTTTCTGCTTATGTGGTGCTGAGGAATTGAACCCAGGGCCTCAAGCATGCAAGGCAAGTGCTCTACCACTGAGCCATCTTCCCAGCCCAGCTGGTACTAATTTATTTCTTTTTTCTTTTTCTTTTTGATGGTCCTAGGGCTTAAACTTGGTCCCTGAGCTTCTTTTGTTCAAGGCTAGCCCTCTACTAGTTGAGCCACAGTGCCACTTCTAGCTCTTTTGGTAATTTATTGGAGTTTACCTTTTTTCCTTCCCTCCCTCCCTCCCTCCATCCCTCCCTCCCTTCCTTCCTTTCCTTCCTTCCTTTCTTCCTTCTTTCCTTCCTTCCCTCTCTCTCTTTCCTTTTTTTCTTTTGCTGGTCCTGGGGGCCTGGGCACTGTCCCTGAGCTTCTTTTGTTCAAGGCTAGTGTTCTACCACTTGAGCCACAACACTACTTCTAGCTTTTTCTGAGTAGTTTATTGGAGGTAAGAATTTAACAGACTTTCCTACCTGGACTGGCTTCAAAATGTGATCCTCAGGTCTCAGTCTCTTGAGTAGCTAAGATTATAGGCATGAGCCACCAGCACCTGGCTTTAGTTTGTATTTCTTATTGATTCAACTAATAGGTGCTGTCCTTCATTAATAAGGATATCATAAAATGTCTCCAACATTAGGGATAGCTACATTACTTCAAGATTTTTTTTCTGTACATATTTGTTAAAATCAAAGCAGGTGATTGATCTGACATATCTAAATCTATATCATGCAGTGCTATGGATATTTCAGTATACAAACTACAGCCAAAAAAATTACTGTCCAGAGATCCTTGAACATTTACTTTTGTTTTCAATACAACTAGAGGAAGTATTTATGAGGTAACACTAACTTTGGTTTAAAAACTAGACTTGTGCCGGGCGCTGGTGGCTCACACCTGTAATCCTAGCTACTCAGGAGGCTGAGATCTGAGGATCGCGGTTCAAAGCCAGCCCGGGCAGAAGAGACCATGAGACTCCTATCTCCAATAAACCACCAGAAAACCGGAAGTGGCGCTGTAGCTCAAGTGGTAGAGCGCTCGCCTTGAGCTGAAGAGCTGAGGGACAGCGCCCAGGCCCAGAGTTCAAGCCCCACGACCGACAAAAAAAAAAACAAAAAACTAGACTTGTATTTGTACATATTTCTTACAAAGACATACATAAATGGCTAATATAAATTCTTCCAAAACAATGATGTAATTTTGACCTGTATAAATTTCACAGGACTCACAACTTATATAGTGTTGTCTACTACCTCTTTTCTCCTATCTAGAGGGTAAGGGAAATATTAGGAAATGAACAATCTGTTTCTCCTTATGTAGCCATCAGCAACTTTCTGTAACCTTGGCCTAAACTATCATGTGTATATTTTGTGTGTTTATAAATCAACCAATAAGCTATTATGAAAAGCTGCATATGTTTGAAAAGAATTCTACCACATATGCATATTTTAATTGTAATAGGCAAATAGCTAAAGCCAACAACGTTAAACAGTTAGCTAATAAATAATTTATAGACCAGGACTATTTGTGATTGTATTTCAGTAGTTCAATGTAGAGTACTTGTCTACCATGCAAGTAAATAAGTAAGTAAAAAAGTTTGTGCTCCTTGTACATTGCTATTCTTCCTTTTTAAAATTTTTTTTTCTGTGCCTGGGCTTGAACTCAGGGGTTGGGCACTGTCCCTGAGCCTCTCTGTGCCCAAGGCTAGCATTTTACCACTTAAGCCACAGTCGCTTTTTCTGTTAATGTGGTACTAAGGAATCGAACCCAGGGCTTCATGCTTACTAGGTAAACAATCTACCACTAAGCCACATTCCCAGTCCCATATATTGCTATTCTTATCTTCACTTGTACATTGCTGTTCTTTCTCACTCATTAAAAAAGAAAGAAAAAAAAATCAAACACATACCCATTTTGGAAAGAAGTTCTTTATCAGCTCCCTTGAAGAAGCACACGTAAATCACTAATCCTCTCTGAACCTACAAGAAATCACCACAGAAAATTCTGTTTAGGAAGAAGTCCATAGAGATTTAGAACTACATGAGTAAAAATTCAATTAAATTTTACAAACATAGAGAATAAAAATAACAGGAGATTTATGATAGTTTTGATTTCTAAATAAATATAAAAAACAAAATCCTTTCAAGTTTTAATCACCATTACTATTTCTTTCAAAAATTGTTATTTATTTGTCTTTATTTATTTTGTGCCAGTCCTGGTGCTTGAACTCAGGGCCTGGTTGCTGTTCCTGAGATTTTTTGCTTAAGGCTAGAGTGCTCTACCACTTGAGTCACAGATCTATTTATGGCTTTTTTAAAAAATTGAGATAAGAGTCTCAAAAACTTTCCTTCTCTGGCTGGCTTCAAACCACTATCTTCAGAACTTAGCCTTCTGAGTAACTGGGATTACAAGTGTGAGTCACCAGACCCCAGCAGGTTTTTACTTTTAAACAGTGATGATCACAGTATAATATCATATATTTACTTCTAACAGAAGTTAGTAGAATTTTCAACCAGCTTCCCCTCATCCACCAAATAAGGCTGACAGGCTTAGAAACATTTAATGTGCAAGGCCCATTTATTCAGTACTGGCTGAATTCACATACTAGATAGGACTGATGAATAAGCAGCAGTCTGACTGATATATTTTGACATCACTACTATATTCTTCATAGCTTATTTACTTACACATAGTGAAAGAGTTTGATTCTATTTCTATGAGAAACGGATTATTTCTGTTACTGTTATTAATATCATAAATAAACATAATGATTAGGATTAGAAAATTGTATTTTTGATAATAAATTCTGCATGACAAGATTGGTTGCTACCAGGAACATAAACTTATTTATTTTACACAGCGACTTGGATATTTCTATTGGCTTTTGTAAGACAGTCTATTAAAAAAAGAGACATTTGATAAATGACTTTGATTCTGCTGACTGAGTCATTAAATTCATGAGTGAATATGGAAAACTTGTTGACCCCAGGAGCTATCAAAGACTAAATGAATTAATAATTGTTGTGTTTAAAACATTGCTGGGCTCATGGTAAGTCCTACACATGATTATTAAATGAGTATATAAAATAAATTTAAAGGCAGAAGCATAATTTATCTCAAATATTAACTTCCGCAGTATTTAACATGATTTATGCATTACAGGGACTCAATTTATATCTTAATTGCATTAATTCAACTGTCTCATCTTGGCTCCATTATCTATATAGTGTTCTTGATAAATATAACTCTGTACTCACACTTACCAGCAAATTTGCTGGTAAATGTGAATCATTGTTAAAAAGCACAACTGTGATTTTGGAATATGCACACCCACAAGAGGCTACCAAGTTTAATTAGACATCTACACTACTACTATGGATAGAATTTTCAATAGGAGGCCAAATCTTCATCATATGTCTTGTCAGAATTAAGTACTTAATTACTCCCAGAAGTAGTTTACACTCACTACATTACTTCCTTTCATTGTCCTCTGGTTTATTCCAATAATATATCTTAAATTGTGCCTACATATTCTTCTCTTCAAGTCAAAACCACCACTTTCCTTGTACTTTTCTGTTTTTCTTGGCACTACGTAGGTTTGAACTCAGGGCCTTGAGCTTGCTTAGCTGGAGCTCCACCAATTGAGCTATGACTTCATACTTGCTGTTTGCCAGTTATTTTGGAGATGGAGTCTAAGGAACTTTTTCTACTTGGGTTGTCCTCAAACCATGATCCTCCAGATCTTATAGCTAGAATTACAGCTGTGAACCCCCAGCCCTTGTAACTTAATTACAAAACATTTCAAATAAATAGAAAAGTACAGTTCTCACTTAAAAATGCTCATTTCCCAGAAAGAAAAATATTATAGTCTGTGATGGCAAAGTTCTTAATGAACGAAACTCAAATAAGCAAAGTAACTTTCAACAATTAAAGTGCTGTTTTATAAAAAAACAAAGTTAATGGAACAAGGTTAATGATATGTGAGAAAAGAGAATTTACACTTTCTCACCATCTAATTACTTATCTGCTCTTTAATTCAGTCATGTGTGGGAGGGAAGTAAAAACTTTTAAAAACAGCTTCTAGAGTTTATAAACAGAAAATGATAGATTAGAAGGTTGCAATAAAATACTTGTGATTATATGTAAAAAACGACATGGAAAAGCCTAAAAAAGAAATACGGAAGAACTGTAAATGATTACTAGTTTGAAATTTGTAGGGCCAGAGAGCAACAAATTATTCTACATATTTAGATATACAAAACATGAATGTAAAGGAACAAAGTTTCAAATATGGAAGAAAAATCAAAAGCTCAGAGAAAAATCAAAACAAAGATTAAAAAAGAGTTTGAGATAAGGAGAGAGATGTAAACAGGATTGCTGTTCTCTCCTTCCCAGGGGAGAGTTATGAAGGCAATCCACCATTACCAGAAATTATGCACTCAAATCTCCCACTTCTGGGGAAATTACAGGGGTCAGAATAACTGCCTTCATGATCAGGGTATTTTCTCTGTCAGGTAAATATGGAATACAGGAATTTTTAGTGTTCATAAACTATTTTCAAGTTAGCCCAAGTAATTAATAGATTCTGATTTAAGTGTAATTAACCACATGTTCATGGGTAATATTTAAAATGACTTTTTATAGTAAAGCTAGGCTCAGAACTTTATTAACTTTAACTTTATTAACTTTATTATTATGTGAGAGATTCTCCTACATGAAAGATTCTGAATATGTCCGAACGTTTTAAGATGAACTGACTGCTTTTCCTATGTTTCAACTTACTCTGAAAAATACATCAAGAGACTTTAAAGAAGATTGTATTTGCCGTTGTGGCCTTCTGACTGGTTATCTTAAAAAAAAAAAAAGTAAGTATGAAAGTAGAAGTCATATTGAGATGTCTTCAATTCTTTGGAGGAAATGTGTTCCAATAACAACGCACAACTATTATAAAAAAAAAAAGTGGTGATTTCTTTGGACCATAAACATAATCTCAGTTGGAAATAAGTCAAAATTTCTTTCAGATGCTTGGGCTGGTGATTAACAGCTCAGTGAGTGATAAAATGCTTCCTTGCTTAGGCCTGGGGATCTGATCATCAAATGCTGAAAATCGTTTCTGGAAAAGAAACTGTTTCTGGGAGAAATCTCCTTTCTAGGCTGAGCCCAAGTTACGGTCACCACGAGTAGGGACAGAAATCAAAGCAGATCTCGAACCCTTGCAGCCAACTGAGCCTACCAAGACTGAATCAGTGCCGTGCGGGCCCAGGGCGCCAACCTGTCCGAGGCAAATGAGGCCTAAAGACAGTTCTGCTGCTTTTGTTTGGTTTTCCCCTGCGGGGGGCTGCCTAGCGCGGGGCGGCGCGGGGCAGGATGGGAGGGGCTGCGGGCCGGGATGCAGCTGTCCACCGCGCCAGGCCGGGCGCCGGGCGGGGTGGCGGGGCCGGCGGGCTCGGCCAGGGAGGCGCGGGGAGGAAGAATCACACAGACCGTGCGGAAAAGGATAACGAGAGCTGCCCGGCCGCCGTTACCTCCACCCACTGGGCCGTGGCGTCCCCCTCGGCTGGGCAAACTTGCAGTCGGGCGTGCAGACACTGCTGCAGGAGCGCCCGGGCCTGAGGTGTCCGGCCGCCGTCAGCCATGGTCAGCGCCCACACCGCCGCGCGGGTCCCGCAGGTTCACGCCGCGCAGGCTCCGCCCCCTGCACGGAGGCAGGAAGGGCATGGGAGGGGCGGGGCGTAGCGGAAGCCGCTCCTACCGCCAGTGGCTCCGCCCCAGGAGGACGGATGTGCTGCTTGGCACTCTTGGAGTCCCGGATGTGCCTTCAAAGGCTGTCAATGATAAGGGTAGATGAAGCCAATGGGCCAGTCGGCCCAACGCTGAAGAAGGCCGTCAGGGTACGTTTGTGAGCCAAGAGACTTTTGGATGTCTTTCTTCTGTCACACCCCCCCCCCCTCCCCCGAAGTTTTAGCAAAGATTTACTTTAGTAAAACAGGATAATTTAGAGAAATAAGAAGAAAAAATAGGAGAAACATTTCTTGCTTCCCATGCAAGAAGTAGCAGTAAAAGACCCCCTGTCTTTTCTGGCATGTGGATTTTGTAACCGTGTGGCTTTTTTTTTTTTTTTTTTTGTCACTCGTGGGGCTTGAACTCTGGGCTTGGGCACTGTCCTTCAGCTCTTCAGCTCAAGGCTAGCGCTCTACCGCTTGAGCCACAGCACCACTTCCGGTTTTCTGGTGGTTCTTTGGAGCTAAGAGTCTCATGGACTTTCCTGCCCTGGGCTGGCTCTGAACCAAGATCTTCAGATCTCAGCCCCCTGAGTAGCTAGGATGACAGGTGTGAGCCACCAGCACCGGGCTCAGTCTGGCATTTTATTGGTTAATTGGAGATGGACTTTCATGGACTTTTATACGGATTCAAACTTTGAACCTAGATCCTCCAGTGCCACAGGCACTAAAAAAAAAAAAAAAGGATATACTAGGCAATTTCTTTGTCACCTGGCTGATACCCCCACTCCTCCTGTATATCTATGAACAAACATTTTTTTCACCTTAGATAGCCCCCTTACAGATTTTGAACAAATTTTTTGCTTGATTTAAATCCACCATATGCTCATTATGGAGATAAATAACTAGAATGAATCAATCAAATTTCAAAGCAAGTGGAGATGAGATTGGAAGCTATAAATCTTTGAAAAAATTTCTTGCCCAATCAATAAAACAGCACTACCTCCCTTATCAGGAATGCTACAAACCTTTCTGATTTCACAGATACAGAAAGATCTTAAAATGCTTTCTGAAAACACATTTTGAGATTAATTCTTCAGAAAATACCTTTGGTATGAATTTGCTTATACAAGAAAGTGTGATTGTTAATACAGTTCTTAACCTGCTACTAATATAAACCTAAAATAACATGTTTTGATGCACACAATGTTATTAAATTCTGTGATGCATTTTCTCTAAGTCCAAGCTGAATGTAAATAAAAGTAAATAAGGACTCGATTTTCTTTCCCACACAGTGCAGTGCACTCCTTGAGCATGCATCAGATTAGCATTTATTTTTCTACAGTCTTGGAGAGTTAAGATGAGAAATAATAGTGTGACCCTGATTGCATTACCCAGGTCATTGATTTGAGCTCAGTTGACACAATATCCCTATACATTCGGGACTCTTGTTTTAAAAGATGACATCACTGACAGTATGGCTACCCATACAAAGTAGTGTGACTGAAGAAAATAATCCATGCATAATCAGTGGTCTTTTGTACTAAAAAATTGAAGCTGCTTGTTTTCTGGTTATATTTCAGCCTGCCTTACACTTTTAGTAAAAAGAAAAGGAAAATATCACATTATCTCGGATTGCTGCATTAAAGAGTTTCCAACTTTTGCTGACATTTATCTGCACAGCATACAAGCTGAATTGCTTAATGTCTGTACCTTTAGGTCACTATAACTATTGAATCTCTATTATTCTTCTCAGCTAGATCCAAAATTTAAAAGTCTGGTAAGACCTTTGAAATAGAGACCCTGGCTATGATCTATGATAAGTTAGGATTTTTGAGTCCATTTGCATATGAGTGTTGAAGATATGGAGTTCTATCGAAAACGGAATATAGTTAGTTCTCAGAGATCTTTCTACTGGGAGGGAGCTTTGATACTTTGGCAAACCATTTCTGTGAGCAGATGAGTTTTCTCATTAATGTTTAGCTTCTCAAATATTAACAATTACTTTAAACTTTCCTGTTGACTGAAAATCTGAACATAGTTATGTGATAGGTTTTGTCTTATTTTTTCCTCTTACCTGCAGAGGGCAGTAGTGAGTAGGAAATAAAGTACTGTGTTTTATGAAAGAATCTCAGAAAGAATCTAAGGAAACAGAAATACAAGTAACAAGATAATAAAATGTGAACAAAAACAAAGCATTAGGAGCAAAGAAAAAATATGTTGAGAAGTCACAATTGAGGGAAATTTAGCAAAGTTTTCATCTATGTGTAAGTTGTGCTCATCATATGTAATGTTGAGGTAGATCAAGTTGTACAATTTACTTGAGTCTGAAGTAAAGAAAAAGCAACTTATTGAATTTTTTTTGACGAAGACAGTAGTTTACTGAACTGTAAGAAATCTTTGCCTTTTATCTGGGTACTGGTGGCTCATGCTTGTAATCCTAGCTACTCAGGAGGCTGAGATTTGAGGATCACAATTCAAAGCCAGCCAGAGAGGGGAAAGTCCATGAAACTCTAATACAAAAAAAAAGAAGAAAGAAATTTTTGTCTTTTAATTATATAAGAAATAATTTTCTAGCCAAGTTCTGGTAGCTCTCACTTGCAATTCTAGCTAGTCAGGAGGCTGAGATTTGACAATAATGGTTGTAAGCCAGCCCAGCCAGGAAAGTCTGCAAGGCTCTTGTCTCCAATTAACCACCAAAAATGCTGGAAGCAGAGCTCTGAGTAAAAATGGCTCAGGGACAGACCCAGGTTGTCCTTTTACACATATGAAGGTGGATTCAAAGATTCCTGAAGAAGTAATTCTATGTTCACCACTATAGCATAAAAATGAAAAACCAAGATCCTAGAATTGCATATAATGGCAGAAATAACTTTGGCTTGGGAAAATGTCAAAGCAGCTGTCTTGATAGGAAACAGATGGCACATTTTAAAGAGGTGGCTCAAGAGAGTTGAATGATGGAACCATTAAACAAGTGTGTAAAAGGTTAAGGTAAGCCAATAGGGGATAAGGCTAACGGGCTAACAACTGCAGGAAGCAGTTACTGAAGAGGTAAGAGGAAGAGAGAGCTATAGATGGAGGAAAGATACTTGACAGGACCTGTGGCTTTCCCATAGAAAAATGCAGCCCTTGCCAGATTGTAGCCTGTGTTCCTTCTCCTCCTCCTTTCTGATTTCCTGCCACTTCTCCTACTCACTGAGCCCAACTGAAAGGAAGTGAGCAAGAGTTAATTCAGTACAGAGAGAACAGCCTCTGGGGACACAAATAGGATGCAGAAAGGTGACAAGTGGGATCGGAAAGGACATTTGAAGACTATCCAGGGTGGCAACTGTTCCTGGTATCTTTCCATGGCCAGAGGAAAATGTCAGTGTTTATCTTACATAACACAGACTTACTTAGTTGCAAAATATACCCATCACTCCTAATCTACCCAGTTCTCTAATTATAATGGGTTATTTCATGAACCAATTAAATTTTGGATGGCATGTCTAAAGAATAGTTTAAGAATTTATGACAATTATCTATTGAGGTCAAGCAAATAATGCTGAAAAACTGTATTTATAAAAAGTAAAGATAACTTTCTGTTTTTTATTGCATTGCATCAATATCACAGAGAATGTCTGGGATAATTTGAGTTGGTCCATGCACATTTCACTTTGAAGGATGCCCATTTGAGTGGCCAGAAGACATTCAATCTTCTACCAGGACATCTGAAACTCAGGTATAAAAGGTCCATGTGAATTTGGACTTCTACACACTTGTCACATATATTAAGGTTTTGAAGAAGAGGAAACAAACAGCTGGGTGCTCTTATTGTGTGCCAGTAATCCCAGTTACTCAGGAGGCTGAGGATCAGGAGTCAAAATCAGCCTGGACAGGAAAGTCTGTGAGACTCTCATTTCTAATTAACCACTAAAAAGCCAGAAGTGGAGGTATGGCTTAGGTGGTTGAGTGCCAGCTTTGAGCAAAAAAACCAAGGGATAGTGGCTAGGCTGAGTTCAAGTACCATTATTGTTGCACATGTGCACACATGTACACACGTGTACATATATATTCATGCACAAAGAGGAAGCATTTACTCTATGTATGTATGTATGCATCTACCTATGATACTTCCTTCTTTTTAATTTATTTTTTATTTTTATTTTTATTGTTAAAGTGATGTACAGAAGGTGGTACTTCTTTCTTAATAGCTGAATCTTTCACATGAATATGTTGCAAAACAGGGAGGGACAAAATTTAGTTTGTAAATTGACATTGTTCTTTTGTTTAACTTGCCTTTTTAATTCTTAATACGACATCTGTTTGCTAGTGTTACCTAGGTAACATAACATAGCAAGTTGTTTTTTTTTTTTTACTCTAAGGCAATGATATATATCTTTGCCAGATTGTAAGGTTTCTCTAGAGTAGGCTGATAAATTGTCTTGATATTTGGGTTATTTTTCTATTGATGGTGTTGTGATAACTTAGAAAAACATTACAAGACCTTTTGAACATTTGTAAATGTCCATTGTCCCTTTTTCTAAATCAGGCTAGCCTGTTTTTATAATATTGGGCATCTGTATCCTTTCTAGAAAACTATTATGAAAGATTGTGAATTGGACAACAGAGATTCTGGATATCCTTTTAATGGAATGTTGGAGCCCCTGGATAGTACTTGGCCCTACAGGTTACACAGAATTGCTTTGTCTTTGACCAGTCTGTCTTATAACTCTGTAGAAGCAGAAGTTAATATCTAACTGCAAAGTATTCCCATCTGTAAAAATGTACAATTGTCTCCAGTGGAATGTAACTGGCTGTTACTCTTTGGTAAGTGCAGAAAAAAGAAATAGAGGTCCTTCATATGCTTGTATTAAAGTGCAAAGATCCCAGAAACAGAAAATTCCTGTTTCAGAATTAATGACTGCATTCATGCATTTGTGCAATTTTTAATAAACATTCATTCATCATGCCAGACACCATGA